CTTGCATAAACATCAATTATTATCTATCCTACTTATCCTTATAATCTTAATTACTTTCTACTTTCTTTTCCATTCATATCACACACCTCATTCAGCATTACCATTTCAACTGGAAACCTATACCTTGAATGGCTCTCGCGACATGAAAATTTGGGTGAAGTTTATTTTAAAAAATAAGAGAAAATTAGGTCTCTTATGTGAGAAATGTTTTAATATATATGTTCTAAGTATTTGAGAGATGTCACTGTGTCACAAATATGCTTACTAAGATGTCTTGTCAGGAATTGCAATATTTACTGTCTGATGACAATTCAGTTGATGATGTTATCAATATTTTTTTGATGATATACTGAAAGCAATTTTCAAATTGCAGATCAAAATCAGTTTCTGGAAAATCACCTGTTAAAAATATTCTGAAATATTTTATGCATAAGAAAAATAAAACATTTTGCATTGAAGTCTTTGGTTTGAAACTCCAGTTAAATTTAAAAAAAAAAAAAAAAATATATATATATATATATATATATATATATATATATATATATACATAAATTAGAAGTAAAACAAAAACTGAGTTATGAAAAAAGAATTCCTTTATTTAGACATAATGTAGCATTTATAGAAGAAGGTTAAAATTGCATGATAAACTAAACACTTTCTAAATCTGTCTCAATGGAACATGAGCTAAAATACTATAAATGAAAAGCTCTTTCTACCTAAACATGGCAACTTGAAATCATTCAGTAGAATAAGAAAAATATTTCTAGTTGTCTTAAATAACTGTAGAGAAATTATATATCTCTTTCTTACAAAAGTATAATGGTGTGCATAGAAAATTCTGATTGTAGTTTTGTGAGAAATTTAATGGGGAATGTGTTTTTATGAGTAGTCTGGTATTTATTTGTAAAATTTCACAGCTAATTCCTAAGCAAAATGATTATAAATATTTTTATTATTGATGTAAAAAGATCTATTGGTGAATAATAAAGAAAATTAGATATAAAATTTTGCCAAAATATTTGTTATATATTGCATGTAATATGTATTTGGCATTTGAATCTTTAGGATTAGAATTGAATTAGTGCTTCTAAGAAATAACAGGGCACCAAAATTTAGTGAATACCAAAGATTAACTTTATTAAATAAGAATATCACATATTTTGCCAAATTATATATAAAAAAAAACAGGATAAAACATTTGGTTTGGGGGCAAAATATTAGTATTTTCTTGAGAGTTTAAAAGTTACATAGAAATTTAAACTAGAATATAAGGGATATATTTACTGCTATCAGGGGTTTAATTTCATTAATGATGTGAATAGTATTATTATCATCATTATAATATGCTATAAAGTTGTGAATAAAAGTGAGAAAACAATAGATTTTCTTCTTTGTTAAATAGCATTTTACTAAAGGATATAAAAATTCTAAGGTAATCATGATAATGATTAAAACAACTTTATTCCACACCATTTAAAAAAAATAATTTATGGTAAATGTTGATAATATTTTTGCATGGTTTTTAATTCCAGGAATTTGTTTTATTCACTTGGATATATTTTCATTAGACACAATTTATATTGAACATGAATATAGAATCATTATTTTCATAAAAGTGTTTGATATTTGGACTGTATCAATCAATATTTTATATCTTTCTTCTGCAAAGAAAGATATAAAATATGACTGTTTGCAACAAGTTTTAATTGGGTGTTAGTTATATTTATTTTTGAAATTTTATTATTCGCAATAATTATTGTCAGAAATTAATTTGATATATTTGTATTTGTATAATACATGACTTAGATGCAAATTTCAACTTTTAGTGTTTGAAATTTATGTCATTTTGATGGGGAAAAAAAAAAAAACAATTTGGTTTCATTATTAGTAAAACTTGCAGAAGAAAAAGCTAAAATGTTTGGTCCTTATCTTTTTTTGTCATTTCAGTCATATAATCTTTATAAATGGTGATTATTGAAAATATATCCAAATCAATTTATATAAAATTACTACTTGCATGAAGGATCATTTTCAGTATTTAAAAAAAGTTAAAAAAAAAAAATTATTGCCGAGTGATCTAATGTTCTCACCACAAGAGTTCCACTGAGATAGACATATAAAACTGATAGAATATCATGGAACATTATTGCCGAATACATCACGTTATTAATTCTAGAAGAAAATCAACAAACTCGGTGAATTAGTTGTTTCCAGAAGTTATTGCATTGCACAAAATTTACTAAACATGTAGTCTGCGCAGTCACTCTCAGTAGCTTGCGTATAGCCACTGAATACCTGAGAGGGCTGTAGGTAATCTAGTGTCTAAATTTCATAAAAATCTATCAATTTGTGACTGTAGTACATGTGTTGTTGTTTTTTTAGATAAAACATAAGATGAAAAAAATCTAATTATTATACAAGATTTAATTTATTCTTAATTAAAAAAAATGGTGAGGAAGAAAAATATGAGAGTTTTAGTATCTGCCTTTGGGAATAATTTTGTGGAATCTATTAATGCACAATCTTTATGACTTATGAAGGAATCAGAAAAAAATATGCAAATTCACTCTAATTTTAAATAGTAGGTAATAAATTTGACGGTATGTAAACAGTACTATTAATATCAATGTATTTATTTGCACCATAAGTAGTGAATGTATTCACCCGTATTTGTACTTTTAGTTAAGGAGGGAGGTGTGGCTCTTGGCATACAAGTGTGAGTTTTTAAACTACAAGAACTCTGTTTACTAACATGGTCTGTTCTAATAACATTGAGTCCCTGTCATTTAGAATTAGGTTACTGCTTCCTTGTTTGACAAGACTGGCAATAATTTAGTTTCAGAAAGATTTTAAGAGATTTTTTTTTTTTAAATGTTGAAATCACTTTGATTTCTGTGACTTGCCAGAACTTTGGATAGCAAACGTTGTGGTTTATATGGATAACCATTCAGTAGTAATTAACTTTGTATGGTAAATTCATTTGTATTGTCATGTTCCTCATTCATATGCCTTCTCATAGATAAATTCAAAGATAAAAATGATAAAAACTTTACTCTTCCTTAGATTGAACATAGAAGATTGTGCAGAAACCAAACAAAAACTTGTTTATAGCTTTTAGTTGCCTTTCATAAAAATAGACAATAACAACTGCAAAACATTTTTCTAGTTTCTTTTCTACATTTTGTAGTTATATAAAAAACAATTAGAATCTTGCTTCAAAGGTAAAGCTGAAATTAACGTGGTCATTATCTAACAATAAAATATGTAAAAATTGTAATTATAAAGATAAAATATGATTGTATGTTGAGTCTTACTGTAAATATTTATAAATATAAATATATTCTAAATATTAGAATACAAGCATACACACATAATTAAACATACTTGTAATATTATTGAAAATATCTTGGATTGAATATTATAAACTAAGTTTTAAATATTTCTATTGTGTTCTACCTATTCTACTCAGTTGTAAACGAATGAAAAAATAATTGTTTCAGCAAATAAAAAACAATAGAAAAATTTGAACTCCTATTTTTTTTTTTTTTTTTACTTCACATTATTATTAATAATTTTGAAGTGCAAACTGCAGTTGTAAAAATGTTTTAGATAAACATTTAGTTCATCAAAATGGATCAGGTAATTGTAGTTATTAAAACCTTTCCAAACAATTGCATAGTAATAATAATTGCAAGGCCTTAGTAATGGCGTGAGGTTTCAAATACTAAAAATATTTTTATTATAGAAAGTAATTAAATAAAAGTATATTTCCGCTAATGGATTTTTCTACATATTTAAAAGTTTTAGTAAAAACCTTAAAATATTCTCTGTATCATTTTAAAAAATATAATTTTTTACCAGGTCACTGGTATATTATTGAGGACATTACATATCAGATTTGGTAATTTACACATTGAAAATGGTGATTAATATAATAAACTTCTAAGTACTACTTTTTTTTTTTTAATTACTGTGTAAAATTTGGAAGTGTATGTGCCTGTTTGTGCAATGTCTTAGAATGAAATGATTTTTCTAATTTAACAATTTATTTTAATTCAAAAAAACTTAATGAAAATTCTTTTTACCTCATTTTACATTTTTTTTATTTAAAAAATGTCAACGATCTGGTATGTTTTTTTTGTTTTTTTTATAACTATTGGTTTAACTTTTGGTAAACAAAGCCAATTTAAGTAAAAATATAATTGATTACAGTGCCAACAACATTGTAAGAAAGCAATACATGTAAAAAAAAAAAGAAAAAAAAAGTATTTTTTCAGAGGACAATGACATTTGTTCATCTCATTTGGTTTCTGTTTGCTTTCATCTATGTTCAATCCTCTTGCAGAGCACTTTGTATCAACAGTAGACTTTTAAAGGTAACAAACTTGTTCTTACAGTAACAATATTTTGAAAGACATTTTCCAGTGTGCACATTTTTCTACAAAATTGTGTGTATTCTTCATAGTCTGGGGTTCATATTCCTTCACAGTCCAAAGTAACAAAAATTAAATCTTTGGGGATATGTACTGTATTTTGTACAACACCCACTACCTTATACAAAATGACTGATTGATGAATCTATGAAGTTTAAAAATGTTGCTTTCAAAAAGCATCCACAGAAATATATTTTTTTCAAGAAATATCTCCCAAATACATTTTCTCATTATAAACAAAGGAATTAATTTTGATCAAAACTTATTCAATGTATTTTTTCATTCATTATGTTGTAATATTTTATTTGTATTTTGGGGGAAATTCAAGTGATTCCAAAAAATCTCGATGTGGAGGAAACATTTTGCCAAACTAAGAAATATTTGAAAACAAAACAAAGTAAATGAAAAAATAAATAGTTATTTGAAAAGAAAAAAAATACTGACAAATGAAGACTTATAAAGAATAGAATATTTTAAAGAATAAAAGTGAATAGTTCATAAAACTGACAAATAAATAAGTGGGTTGATAAATAATGGAACCAAAAAGAAAGATGAAAAAAGCATTTGTCATACAAGTTCATCACCTTGGTAACCAGGATTAGTGGCACTATCAAAGAGTTGTTCATAAGATGAGCTAGCTGAGCTGACACAACTATGTCTGCGGGGGGGCAGTGTTGGAAGATGCTGCTGTGAAAGTAAGGGAGATGGCAGCATCAAATGCAACTCATCGGCTGGTATATTAGTGGAGCCAAGGGAACTGTAGTTTGAAACTGTCATATTACCCAAGTGGCTACCAGAATTACCAAGGGTGCATGGGGTTGTTTTTGCAATATTTGCTGTAGAGGTGGGAGTATTGAGAAAGCTCTGTGATTCTGTGACAAATTCTATATCAGACTGTGTTGATTGCGATTCAAGCAGAGATGAGCCTGTGCCAGTACCACCTTCTGTGTCATTGGAGTCATTTGATATCTCACCAAGAACAAAACTAGAATTATCAATTCCAGGTTGTGAGTTTGCTGCATGTGGACTATGTGAATATTCTAACATGTGTGAGCTACCATCTCGGCTTGAACTGGTGGCTTCAATGGTTAGATGGTTATGCTGCATAAGCCGAGGATTGCAGACATTATTCTGTAACAGCTGAGTGCTATCTGTCATCTCAGAAAGTGTTAACAAATTAGAGTGTGAGTGTTGAGAAAGTTCAGAAAATAAGTTTTCTGATTCTTGCGATGTAAATACACCTAATGTTGGCTTAACATCATCTTCTTCTTCTTCGCCAGTAATTTTTTTCACTTCTTCATCACATTCAGCTTCTTCATCAGCCCAGTCATTGGACATAGTTTCATCAAATTCAGACTCTACAGAATCTTGTCCGTATGTTGAATACGAGTGCTTTGAATGGAAAAGAGCCACTGCACTGTCTTCTGTTGATGCACATTTTGTTCTTAAAAACTTATCCCTGATTCGAGTGTACTTGGCTCCTGTGCTTTGACTACGAAGTAGGTGACGTGATTGGCGTTTTGGAGGTGAGTCTGCCTTATTAATATCCACAAGAATCAGATTATGGCCAAGATGAGGATGGGATTGTGCATGTTGATGACTACTATGTCGAGGGTCAAACTCTCCTTCTGAAGAATGCTGTACATTGGGAAAACTCTGGTTGATGTAATGCCATGGCCATTTGAGAGAATTTCTTTGGCAGCCAGGAATTGACCTTTTTCTGACTTCAGTCGGATGTTCAGGCTGTTCAGCTGAAAGTGATTGCATGCCAGTGACTTTGATTGCTGAGTTGGATCCTGAACTCGATGATGTTGACGAGCTGTAGTTTGTTGGGCACATTATCTGAAATGCTGAATTATCAACGGCCAAAGATGAACAGTCAGGTCCATAGCATCGACCTAAAAAGGCAAAATATTAGAAAAATTAATTTCTTAGCAAGAATGAGAATATTTGCACAAACAACTAGAATAATTTAAACAATTAACATGATAAAAATTAAATATTCAATACATCAATTTTTTAAAAAATTATTTGTAAATCATGAGTAAAAATATTTAAAAAATGTTATGTATCTTCTGATACTTTTCCTCATCACATTTCATGGCTAACCCCCTATTATTTTAATATTTTATTTCATAGTGTATTATTATTAATAATTATTAATATAGTGACTTAAATTTTACTTTTGGAATAACTTCCAAAAGTAAACTTTAAGTCACCATATTAATAATTATCAATAATAATACACTATGAAACAAAATATTAAAATAATAGATAAAATAATAAACAATTTTAGCACAAAACAATATTTTAAATTAACATTTCAAATATTGTTTTGTGCCAAAATTGTGTCATCCCTTGTTTTGGTATCTTCTGCTAATTCATAGAGACTTTTCAATTTCATCAGTAAAAATAGCTAATAGAGAATAAAATTAAATTTTCAAATGGAATTTAGAAAACTGAGTCAATATAGTAGTCTTAAAATTGAAAAAAATCTTAGAATTTTGTGAAAATATTAGAGCAAAATGATACATTATATCATTTTGAAAATTGCAAAATTATAATGAAAACATAAAGAGCAGAGCAAAAAATATTGCATTTTGAATTATGTAAATTATGAAATTCTTAATCTGATTCTCTATGCTTTAATTCTATTGTGATTCATACCCTGCAAGCTGATAGTTGATGGTGATGTTAGCAGACTGCTGGGGACACATTCTGAAAACAAGAATGTAAAGCCTTGAAACTGTACTTGAACTGTCAAGTTGAAAGTAAAAATAAAATATTGATGCAAAGAATTTTACCAACAATAATGAAAAATGTGTTGCTTGAATTTTTTATGAAGATATTGTTGGTATTCTCTTTGACAGTTAACATACAAGTAATTATGGCTTTGCTATTATGATATCTAGCCATCATGTTTGGCTTTACATCTAGCCATCATGGGTTTCCCACAAAGAGTATTTTTGAAAGTGGAAACATTATTGTTTATGTAGAAAGTAATTATATTGCTGAAACACATTTAAAATTGTAGTTTACATTCAAACCTTTATTCAAGAATGAAATTGTGTTGCAAGTTGGTAAATGTTGAGCTAAACTACAATAATTTTGCAAAAGTCATTAATGAAAAATATACTTTATTAAGATGTTTCTTGGCCTTTTGTCTAGGATCAGTCATGTCTCATCATTAGGAAAGACACAACACAAAGTTATCCTGATTCCTGGAAATCCATCTCCAAGGTAATATATGTCCATTTTATTAATGATTTAAGGTAAGGGACTTGCACTGATGGATATGGCAAGAGCCAGTGGTACTAGGTAATTTTTGCTTTTACTTACATATACATATTATGGGCTTTCATTAAACAAACCTTGTGTTGTATTTAAATAAAAATAAAATCAGGATGCTCAAAAATTTCCATCACTTAATGAGAGATAGAAAAAATTAATTCCTGAAGGAGAAAAGATGTACTATTATACCCATCATATCTATAGAGTCCATTCTTTGACTTTTGATTCTTGGTCTTTCTTACATATTTCATTAGGTTCACCATATTAAGATTTACATATCTCCTGGTTGTTGCTGATGCATCTACTATCATTGCATTATGAACATTGGGAACTGTTTCTTTATTCAGCTATTTCTCTTTGTCTTCTGATATTTCTATGTCTATTTAACTAACGTGATTCTTTTCTGTTGACAAATTTAGCTTCTTTAATTGCTAGGTAAGTCTTTGCTGAAGAAACCTTGTGTGGGTTAAGTTAGAACAATATAACAGTTTCTTGGTTGACTTAGAAACCAAAAAATGAGTCAAGAACTATGTTTTGCTTACTCTAAGGAAATATATCAAAAGAGAATAATTCCAAGTTCAGAACATGTTTGAATGTAATAAAATCTCCAAAAGCTTTTCTTCTACTGTTGTTTATCAAGACATTTTCAACAACAGTCCATTTTGAGCAAGATGCTTTGTTAATTTATATCAATATTTTAAAAATGAGTTTTTTTCATTGAGAGCATGATTAAAATTGCTCATAAGTAGCTTAATGTAATTCTTTATACATTAATCATGAATCTAAATTTGTAGACTGGTTTTTGTTGTCTAACTGTATAGATTTTTATAATGTTCTTTTGTTAGATCAGTATACCAAAAGAGACATATTTGTAATTTGGATTCTGTTTGAATAAATGTAAGAAGAGATGATTTTCATTTTTCTGATGAGCATTACTCAAAAGAACAAAAGACAATTGTGTATTAAGAACAATCATTAAAGCTAATCACTGATAAATCAACTGAGAATTATATATTATGTTATTCATATAAAATCTGTTCATTAGGTTGTAAATTTGCCAAAATACATAATACAGAAAATTGATTGCATTCATTATTTACAGAAGAGATTTGAAAGAATATAATTAATCTCCGTGCTTTGTTATAAAGAATAAATATTGAAGATTTACAGCAACATTTTCAGGATAACAGTCAAGTAAAATGCTTTATATATATATATATATATATATATATATTATTATACATTATTTATATAGACACAATGTATAACAATAAAATAATTGTTGGACTTAGTCTATTTCATTATATATATATATATATATATATATATATATATATATATATGTGTATGTATGTATGTGAAAAATATATATAGAAAATAGGAAAGAACTTGTTAGGTAAATAATCCGAAGTTCTTTAGTATTTTTGTTTTTATTTTTAAAAAACAGTGCTTGATACAAAAGTAGAGACTGTACACACACACACACTACAGTTCAAAAGTTTTAGGCCATGCTTGGTAATTTTTTAAATTGGCCCAAAATGTAGTTGTTTTGTACTTTAAATAAGAGAAAATTATTATACATGGTTAAAAAAAAGTGGGACATGATTTTTTATAAGAAATGACAAAAATGACTTATGACAAAAAGAAAAAAAGCATTTCATGATTAAATTTTGCTCTCATCAAAATATCCTCATTTAGCTTTGATTACTGCAGCAAAAATTTTTGGCATGCAAGGCAAAGGTTTTTCAAAGTATAAGTTTGATGATTCCATTCTTTTTTCAATGACTCTGAGAGCTCTTTTCCTCTTCTGTCATGTTCATCCCATGATAATTTTGGTAGTGGCTTCAAACTTTTGAATCATAGTGTATATATATGAGCTAAAGATCAAATGCAGATCAAATATGGATTGGAATCCAGCAAGATGATAAGAACAAATTTCACTTATATAAAAGCTTCATCAAAGATTGAGTGAAAACAAATAAAATAACCCAGAAACTTTGGTATTTCCAATTTTGTTTGGGTCTTTTCTCATTGGTCAGTCATGTATCATGTGCATTAAAATCATAGATAATTCTATATGTATGTAAGTTAGTAAAAGATTCTTGTATGTCTAAGCAGGCATCAGATGAAAATTTGATTTCACTAATACCACTCTAATTAAAAAAGAACATAATTCTTTGAGGAGAAAATACTTTGAAAGCTTAATAATAACATTATTACAACTATAAAACATGCTAAAAAATATTACATCGCCATCTTTCTTTGAATGCTTTCTTAAAGAATCTAACTTACATATATCTAATACAAAGAGTATGTGCTTAAAAAGATCAGTCCCAGATTAGAGTGAAATGCCACCCTGCTATGCCAGCTGACTGCACAAAGGTGAAGCCATTAGAATTACTCCTACTAGACAGGCACACATACACAATCATGAATATACATTACCATCCGATGCCCACTTAGCCATACAAGAACCTTTACAAATTTACCTAAGTCTAGAATTATTTACAGTTTTAATGCATGTGATACATGACTGACAAATGAGAAGTGACCCAAACAAAATTGAAAATACTAAAGTTTCTGTCTTTTTTCTCTTGGTAATAACATTAAGAAGCTTTAATAAAAAGTGAAACATGTTAGATTGATATATCTTATTATAATATCCTATTTGTTCTTTATCTTATATATATATATATATATATATATATATATATATATATATATAATTTTTTAATTTTTATTAATTATAGTCTTAGTATATAATTATTAAGCTGAAAGTGATTTACTATTAACTGATTAAAATAAAATCATAAAAATTAATGATAAAAATTAGAAAGTAATTTCAGTATTTGGCTCTTTTTTTTATCCTTACCTATTCCTAAACTTGTCCCTGGTGTTATATTTTCATTTGTTTCAATAGATGGTGGTTCACCACTGGGAGGGCGCACATTAAAGGTGAAATTTGGAGGTAATGAAATTTGCTTTGTTACAATATTTCTCACTTTTAATTCATGGTCATCATTTTCTACACTAGCACCATCGACACCATTTTCACCATTGACTGATGAAGGTATCACGTCTGCAACTGATGCAGCCAAAATTGATGATCTTCTCTCCTTTGAAAGAATAAAAGTGAAATAATCATGAATTTAATGACAATGATTTAAAATAATTCTTAAAATATAAAATCTTCAAAAATGTACAAATTTAACTATTCAACAAGTAAATTAAGGTTGACATTAAAACATTTTCTTTTTTTTTTTTTTACATTTTTCTAATAAAGTTGGTTTAGTCCAGCAAATATCTACAATAAACCAATTAATGTCCACCATCCCATTATACATAGGTAGAAAACAGTAATTAATACCAAATTTTTCTTATAATAATCAATACTATTTTTTAAATCTATAATACAGGATTTTTATTTTTCTAATACTGGGTTTTATGGTGGGCATTAATGGATTAAAGTTAATTTCTCAAAAATACTACAATTACAAATTCATACATAGAATTCCATGACACTTTTGAAGAAATTAAATGACTGAAAAATATTACAGCAATGTCTTGATTTATTTAAAGAATGTTTGTTACTTTTTTTTTTTTTTTTTTACAGTAAAGTTCACCCTGCAAAAGGCCCAGGACTAATTGAGGTAAAGGGTTAAAAGAAGTAGTTTAGATTGATAGGAGGTGAAATTAACGGTTGTCTCTAGACTTGACCAGGTTAAGATTGTAGTGATTGGAGAAACATCCTCTTGGGAGTCTGTTTCACAGGGCAGTGGTTTGCAGGAAGAACCTGTTTGAGTGGAACTTCTCACTAATGGAATATGGGGGAGGGAATGAGGGTGGAAAGTTGCTATTATGTAAGTGGCATGGCAAGTCTTAGCCATGAAGGTCAGACCTGGTTAGGAGATGCAGTTCATCCAAGCACTTCCCATAGAGCAATGAGAGATTCACCACATCCTGCCTGTGAGAGAGAGGTTGGAGGGTGGAAAATAATTCTTTTTCAACAAGGACCTGGAGACACTTTTGAACACAAAGCTGGAAAGTGAGGTCTGGGAGGCTCCTGCCCAAATATGACAACAATAAATCCATTTTCAGCCTGATCTGGCACTTATAAAGGTAGAAATTCTTGATGACAGCTGTTATAAAATCATATACATAATAGACATATATATATATATATATATATATATATATATATATATATATATATATGATAAATAATGAAAAATAAATATTCTCATATTTTAAAGTGTTATTAATACCTCCATATCTTCAGAACTGGGTGGATTCCTTATATTATTAAGATTAGCTCGTTCTTGAGCTCGACTGAGTGCTTCTATTTCTGCTTCAAATTCTGCGTCTTCATCCATATGCTTGTGAGACTCCTATTGGATAAAAGAACATAGAAAATAGTTAATACTGAACCTGATTAAAATATTTAATAATGCTCTATTTGTATTAAAAAAAAAGAAAAGAAAAAGCTTAAATGACAAGGTGACTACTCTTCACATTGCTGAAATGAGCTTCTACTAAAATTTCTTAACACTCAAGACCAATTTATTAATCATGAATATTATCAAATAAATGATAGTTGGCATTTCCTATGTTTATGTCATCTCTTTGATTAGTGCTAAGTTTTAATATAATTCAAATTAAAGACTTCTTTCAATTAAATTAAAAATGATTTATGATAATTACTCAAATTCAGCATTTAAGTTAATTTAAATTTAAGTAAATATTTTGCATGCTGTTGTGATTGGAAAAATAGAAACATTCATTTATATAAAATATTTGTTTGGAAAGAAGTAGAAAATTTTCAATAACAGAATTATTTTCCAAGTATTAATCTATAATGGGAAAGCATTATTAGGTTGTTCGAAAAGTAATATTGCACTTAAATTTATTACCAACTAAGAAAATAACTAGGTTACAATGTAAACAATGATTTTAAGTTGTAAACTGACTTTTGTTGTCTAATTGTACATTGTTTTTATCAATTAAAATTAATTCTTGATAAACATTTTAGTTTTGTTAGATCAGCATACCAAAAGAGACATATTTGTAATTTGGATTCAGATTGAATAAATGTAAGAAGAGATGATGATTTTCATTTTTCTGATGAGCATTGCTCAAAAGAACAAAAGACAATCATGTATTAAGAATAAGTGTTAAAGCTATTCACTGATAAATCAACTGAGAATTAGCACAAAAGTTGATGGCTTCAGTTTCTACCATTAATGACATAAGCAGATTGGGCACATGTGTACACACACACACACGTACATAAATAAATCTATAGTCTAATGATAGAAAAAATCATTTATTTTACACAATAAATATTTTCAACATAATTCTCTTTCTTGTGAATTCACCTAGTCCAATGCTTCTTCATTATTGAAATTGATTGAACATTATACAGTGAAAATTCCAGCTTGAAATTCAGCTAATAACTGTCAGGCTTTGGACTTATTGATTCACTCTCATATATATTTATACAGAGAAGTTATAAATTAACACCTTAAAATTAAATAATTAGACAATTTGTAAGTTTTTTCATCAGGAATGAAGTAATGCTTTTGTTTTCTGATTATAACTTCCAATAAAGAAGTGAATATTTTACACAAGGAGATTGAAAAGCAAAGATAATCCACATTGTATCATGAAAAGCAATTCTATCAACTTGGCAGATTTTGTTTAATATGAATTTTTAGAAACTGTTTAGATTAGAAATTTATTGTCAAAACCATAAATAAGTGAATCAAGGTTTTCTATAAAAAGTTCATGCTTTAGAAAACTTGTAATTCTGCCTGATGACAATGTGAGCAAAAGCAGGAAAAGGTTCTAAAGTCTTCCTTTTTTTGTAACTTATTATTTTCATTTCATCAATAAGGCATTTTTTGGATGGTAAAATCTTTGGAAAATAAATCAATTCAGTACAATCAATATATTTTCATCCAGAATTGCCTTCTCTTTTTTGAATAGAGAATTATGGTCAGTTTTCAAGTAGTCTTTTGTTATTACCCATAGATGCTAATTTTTGTTAGATTTTAAGGAGGACATTACTTTCTGAACAACCTAATACATAATAATGATCAATCTTTAATGTGAATAATGTTATTGCTAAAAATCTAAAAATCAATTTTATGTACTGGAATAAAAATGACTGCAATTTGTTTGTGAATGTGCAAAAGTGACATTACAATAGACACACAGACATTTGGTCTAAAGTGACAGCTTAAAAATAATAGGTATTTGAAAAACATGACTTTTTCACAATATAACTTTATTAATTTCATTAGTAATTAAAAGTAGCATCACTGCACTGATTCTTCTGAATAACAGCATAAATAATTTCCAGAACTAGAAACAAAAATGTAAAATTACTATTTTTGAACAAAATCTATATTAAAGAATTCAGAACAGAATTATTCACTGATTCACTATTGGGTTTATGCTATTGAATGGAAAAGAAATTCCTAAAAATGCCAACTGATATAAAACTAACTTCATTTTTGGACATCAGAACAAGATTTGATTTTCTATTTTAGACACACCAGATATTTTCTGTTTGCTTATTTAATAAATTGTGTTTATTGAAATGCATCTATCTACATCACTTTTCTATTAATGTGACAGCCGATGATGGTGCTTTTAATTTCTCAATAAAAAAACATACAAATATCATTATAGATATAAATTAATATATTTTTGAATATTTCAAAATTGTGATTGAATTTCAAGGCATAAAATGATGGCATACTTGCTGTAAAATCATTCATCCCCATCAAGTCCCCCTTTTTTAATTCACAATTAATGTTACTATTGCAATGTTTTTAGAAAAGCTGAATTCATTAATCTTTAATATTAAAAGATTTTGTTGCATTGTGTGCCAAAAAATTGTCCCTTATTAACTTGGTTAATAAAAGAAAATATGTAAATTCATAGAATTTAAAAAATTAATAATTATCTTTAAAGCTCTTAATGAAATAACATCTTTTTTCCTAATAAATTAGAAAAAATACAAGTTTTATCTGAAATTCTACAGATTAAACAAAATCCTACACTTCAAAAATCGAATTTATACACTGAAATCATTAAAAAAATATTAAGGATAACAAAGAAATCCCACAAAATCCTTATATATCATCTAAAGATATACATTTTTTCCTGTTATACATTAAAATATAAGTTGTATATTTTGTGGTAATTATCAATATACATAAATTAAAGAAATTGTTCAGTCATAAATGGATGGTCATAAATTAAAATGTATGTACAAACCCCCCCCCAAAAAAAACCCTGTTTTTTGCTAAGTGATATTCTAGTGACCAACATGAAGAAATAAAATATTGCAGACTGAGGAAATCGATTTTCAAACAATTTAGAAATAATAACTTAATTTAGAAAAAAAAAGAATTTGAAATGAATTTAATTGTATAGTTATGCAATAACAAAATATTTCTTGCTTAATCAAGTGCAAATTTTCCATACCAACCATTTATTATTATTTTATCTGACAGAAAATAATACAATGTACATTTATTTTATTATTCTAATTGACAAAAGTTTTACAAATCAAATTCTCACTAATACTTAATAGATAAGAACATTATGCAGTGTATTTAGTGAGAGTGTCTTGTATTACAAAACAATTTTGTGATATAATATGATTTTCAAAGTGTGATTTCTATGGCCAATTCTTGTCCCAATATTAATAGCATAATATTCATTTATAAAATTATAAAAAATAATCCTTTGCATGAAAATATATTTTTTCAAAGCAAAGTTGGTGTCATTCACTAACAATAATTTTGATTTGAGTGAAGATATTTAGATTTATAAGATTTCTTTGGGTAAAAAATTGTTAAGCATTTTTAACATTTCTGATTACTAAGCAATAAAAAATTTTGTTTGGAAAAAGAAAAAGAACTGGCTTTAGTGTCCTGCATTGTGCACAGAGACATTTCAAATATGGGACAAGAGACAAAGGAAACAAAGCTACAACTTGTTTCAAATGTACAAGACAAACTAGCGACTGACAAACAATATACAAGAAATACACATAAGATTTATTACTTTAAATTATCGATTAACTTTTATTTTTATTTTTTACGAATTAAAAAATATCTTCATATTACATTTAAAACTGTTCATACACTTTTTGTAATTTAATATAAACAGTTGGTGAAATGTGCTGCTAAGTTGCTATGCATCTTGAGTAATAAATTATCTTTTTATTCATACAATGAACCAATATATAGCATCCAGATGCTTAGTAATTTACTCACTAAATTGGGAGATATTTTTCTTCTAATTTTCTAATAATAAGCAAAAGCAAGGAATATTAAAAAATATATATTTAAACTACTGACAAAAATTTATTTTTGTAGTCATTTAAAAACCAAAGAAGTAAATTTCTAATTAAAAATCATTGATGTGTTCTAAAAATTCAAAAATTCCTGTCATTCAAATTTGTATATTTTGTTTGAAGATCTGAAAATTTTATCACAGATTTATTTTAGAATATAGACTTATCCATTAAATAATTTCAATATTGACATAATATCAGAAATAAGAACTGATATTAGTTGAACCAACATTTTCCATGCTACATTTTGCTGCAAGAAAAAAAACACCAAGCACAAATATTGATTGAACATCCAACTATTACAGAGCTAGAGGAACTGAGTGTTAAAGTTTTTCATAGATGATCTGCAACAAGATATTAATAATCACGAAAAAGAAGCCAGACAAAACTGATACAATTGCGCATTGGTCTAGTTGGCATGCAAACAGAGCGCTACAAAAAGTGAATACAATAACAAAAAGAGAGCGTAAAAAAAAAAAAATTATGAGGAGGAGGAGCAGCAGCAGGAGCAGTATTTGAGGCAGACAGTCATGCTGAAGAAAATGCAACAGCTGACTGAGAAGCAGCACCTGATTAGCGCGGGACATCTGCAATAGAAATACAAAAGTGCACAAATATATAAATACATATACAATGAGACAAACATGAACAGCTTGTAGTATACACTCAAGTAGCTGAAAGCGCAAAAAATTAAAACAAAACAAAAAAAAGCTCATTTAGACCAAACATCACTGAAATATAAAAGATTTTTTTTGTTGTTGTGATGGGAGGGGTTAAGCTTAGAAAACTCAAATAAGAGCAATAGTCAGTAAAATTTCATGGGATTTGGTATTGTCACTATAATTACTAAGTTAATCTTTCCTTGCTTTCACTTAGGTTTTAATAGTTATACTAATACTTCTCTTGCACTGCCTCCATCAACTACAAATATTAATATTTTAGAAAGTTTAGTATAATCAACCAACAACATTTCAAATTTATGGTTTTCAAATTAAAATGTTAGAAAAATATTTTATT